ACAATTTCATGATTTCGGAGATAAGAAAAATGTTTATATAAATATAAGAAAATATAAATTAAATATCAAGATTATGGCCAATGTTAGGATAATGTCAAAATTATCAAGTATCTCTTAAATAATACATATTAAATAATACTCTGCCATACTTATAAATAATAATAATAATAATAATAATAATTTGGAATAGTTTGCACTTATTCTCTGTGTATGTACTATCTCTATTTTATAACTTTTTAAATTAATAACTTTAAATTTAATTAATAATATTGAAATTATAATCAAGTTTAGTGTACCTTCAATATTATTTTCTGTTCTAAGGGCATTAATGCTTGGAAAACATCAGCATGTTTTACTTGGCCTGCTATAAACACAGTTAAGTTTTCCGGCCTATAAAAATCTTTATGATACTGCCTAACTTTCTTATTGTTAGTACTTTCTCGCAAGTTTTTCAGGGCACCTACATATGTATGCAGAGATAAATAATATTTAAAATATAATGCATTTCAACTATATGTATATTTTTATACCTCCGGTATTAGATTTATATCCACATTTTCCAGGATATACTGCTTTTGATAACTCTGTAAGTGTTATACACTCTCCTGTATTTTCTTTACCCTGCATTTCACAGTAAACTACACCTGCATCTTTTCCTTCGCCAGTAATATGATGTACTTCTGTAAGAAACGCTGCATCCTATTGAAATATACAGAAATGTTAAATATTTCTCGTCTCACAAAATTTATATATAAAAAAAATAGTTACTTTTATGTATTATAAATTATTAGAACTTTACCGGAAGAGTGGGATAAAGAATATGTTCAAGATATATCGGCATTAAGGAGAGAAATCCTTCACTACCAGCTGTTGTCATAGTATAATAAGTATGATCTGAACATGTATGAGCGTTAGTGCCAGATGCGAGGCATCTATTAGCCCAGAGATCCAAAAGGCCCTTGTATGGATACTCCTCGCTCCCCAAAAAGATAAGATGCTCCAATGTATGAGGAAGACCATCGTCATCAAACGCTTCCGTAACTGGTTACAAAATTAATAAAAGTAAGAAATGAATAGATAATCTTTTTATTGTCGAAAGAAAATTGAATATCAACGAGAACTCTATGTCACAAAAATTATTTTCAATCCGATGCATATGTCAATTACCGAGATTGAAGTAGCCGCTGACAACTGGTCCCTCTACCTCCGCGATACAAACTGTGATGCCGGTATTCGTAGATTTGTACATATGGAACGGGATCGTATCGTTGACTTTTAGCGTACATATTTGCTGAAATCCGCCCATATTTCCTCTCGGGGAGCTATCGACAGGCGGCATATTGCGTGGATTTAGACTTAGACGCGTGAATCTCGTCAAGTATAGTCACTCAATATCACCTCAACTCCAGCTACGCGATGAATAATTTGAAGACTGTCAGGTCAGATGTCAGATACTGGATACTGGCTGCGTTCTGCGTTCGCTTGGGGTGCGTTCGAAAATCCTACTCGTGTAGAGTGACATTTAATTGACCAATCAGGACAAAGAGCTCCATGCTCCTTTTATCCTGATCGGTCAATGAAATGTTATTTTATTCTAGGTTTTACTAATTGGAAGTTAGAAGTACAAACAACTATTTCCCACACGGCATGTTAAAACCCTCTTATAAAAAATAAAAATAAAGACGAAGCGACAAATTTGGTTTTAACTTTTAACGAATATGGCTAGATACTCCAGTGAATCAGACTCGGATCACAGTAGATATCGAAGAAAACGGAATCGAAAATCAAGGTAAAAAGCAAAGAAAAATAAGAATTTCGTTATCCATTAGGTTAGCAATTATGCAAGCTTGTCAATTTTGCCGGCAGCTATATTTAACATAAACTTGATTGACATTTTTGGTAGAACGTAGTCAATTCTGTTCGCTATATTTGACACGGTTTATCACAATTTTATCGTTTATGATGAAGAAAATTTTGGTATTGCACGATAATTCTTTCAGGTCTAGCAGTTCTGACAGTAGTGACACTTCGCCTCATCGAAGGAGATCGTCGAGGCATTCGAAGACAAAGCGTAGACATCGTTCGCATTCAAGAAGTCGAGGTAGAGATCGAAATTTAAAGAGTCATAAAGGTTCTAGGAGCAGTCACTCGAGAGATCGGGATAAAAGGCGTTACCATACCAGTACAGGTAGATCGCACTCTTCGGATCGCACAAGAAGAAAAGCTAGATCCACTTCTAGAGACAAATCTCGAAGTCCTTCCAGCAGTTCGCAATCGAATCAACCAAAATTTAATGCTGAAAAAACTCAAGTTGTCCCAGCAAAAGGTATAGCTGTCAATTTGTATTAATATCATAAAAATCTGAATGATAAATGGAAAATTATTGAGGTATTAATGAATACAAATTAATGCTGTTTTTATAGACGACTTTCCTATTGAACCTCGTTTTAAGAATGGTGTACTTGAGGAAATAAATGCTGAAGGTTTCACTCCCAAACAGTTTACCTCATCTGCTAAAGAGAATAAATTTAAGAATATCGTTATAGATATTAGTTCTGATACTATACAGATTCCACCAGTACCCAATATTCCTAGCAGCCTAGAAAGTATATTTCATACCTCGGTAAGTTTCTCTTTGAGTTTCCTAATACATTTACAAACAGGTAATGTCTACTTTGTTTTTCAGATTATGATGGATCAAGAGGCAAGGTTCGATAAATGGGTGAAAAAACTCTACACTCTTAGACAAAAAGCTATAGCAGATTTAATACATACAAATATTACTTAAACCATAATTAAATATTGATATCTTTTTAATAATTATTATAATTAAAAAATATTAAATTTATATACACTACACAAAAAAAATTAAAGGGCCACTTTTTTCCTTCTATAAAAAAGACAATTTTTAAGTGGCTGCAACTTCGTCGCATATAATCGGATTGAGATCAATAAAAAAGCGTTACAAAATTTGAAGTTTAGCTTTGAAGCTTTTAGTTTTAGAATCTTTTAATCGATTTCAATTCTTTTAATTTGTTACAAAATTATATTATAAAAAAGCAACGTCTGTCGATTGAACAAATTTTTCAAAAGTTTGTCAAAGAGTATCGCAGAAAAAAAAATCGTAGCGCAATTTCGTTAACTCGAATTTTAAAGAGCAGAGTAAAATATTTATATTTCTACATC